AGTCATAATCTGATTCTTCCCCCAGGTATGAATGTTGCCCAGTGGTTTCTTACCAGGCAAGATCACGAGGCCTCATTCCTCAGATATGATAGTCCTCGCCTGTTAGTAAAATTCATGGTAAATCTACGTTTTCCAGCAGGTGGCTTTCTAGCAGTTGCGGGACTAGAAAAGGTAGGTATTCTATTTTAAGAACCACAGTGTTTTACTCTATGCAAAGATACAGTGTGATTTGAAATGCTTGCTTATAACTATGGGTTGATTATATAAGACGAGCAAACTCAGAATCAGCAACAGTCTTAAAAAAAAAAAATCCCCTTCTAAAATAACCAACAGAGAAATGACAACCTTGCCAGTTATGGAACTGTAGCTCTCTTGGTGAAATCTGGGATCTATTTTTCCATTATGAGTCTCAGAAGATTATTGGGAACTTTTCCTTTGCATGTGAGATTGTCATTCCCAGTTGAACTCTCTCCCAAATGTCCTATTTTCTAGAATCCAACTGAGAAGGCAGAAAGTATGGGGAGCCTGTTGGTCACCGCCCGGGGCCTGCTGCATAGTGACCCCTTCGTGAATGCAAGTGAACAAACAGCAGACTTGTCTCTGGCAAGTCAGTTTCAACACAGAATGGAGATAGGTTATGGAGTCTCATCCTCTTGGGCACACTGGATGTTGTGACATCCAGGGCTCAGTGAGTAACAGTCACCAAATACACATGAGTTCTGGGCCTCAGGGTACTAGGACTGGTCACTGCCTACTCTCACCATGCTTGTAGGCGATGCCTTTGCTGGATGAGAGTCAAAATGCTACCCAGGGAGATCAAGCAATACTTGAGGAAATCTGCACCAACCCAAGGTACATGGAGGAGATGAACACAAATCAGATTGGGAAGGTGGGGAAGGTTCAAAGGAGCCAGAGGGAGACACACAAGTAGCTCGAGGAGAAAATATATAAAATGAAAAGGGGATCAAACACTTTCCCCTACCAGGCTTGTCCTAACCTCACTAACTAACACATTGACTTCTTTTTTTTTTTTTCCCCTTCAACTTGTATTGGATGTCTACCACGTGCCAGGCTGTGTTCTAGGTACTAAGGATAGAGGAATGCATGGAACTCACATGAGCCCTGCTTCTGTGGAGCATCCATTCTAGAAGTTATGATGTCAGCGGAGGAATCACACATGGTTCCCACTGTGAAAGGTAGCTGCCAGCACCCCCTCCACATTCCATGCCCAGCTCAGTCTCCCTGAGACCACAGTCTCCTCTTCTGACTAACTAACAGAATGCTGTCTGTCCTCTAACAAGGGAAAAAAGTTGGGACTATGTGAGGTAATGGACATTACTAACCTTATTGTGGTGATTGTTTTGCAATAGATACATATGTCAAATCACTGTATTATACACCGGAAACTTATACCACGTTCTATGTCAATTATATCTCAGTAACACTGGGAGGAAAAAAGAAAGCAATACAGTAAAATGTGGTGCTATGGAATGAAATGTTTCAAAAAAGCCAACACCTCCCAACACAACAACCAATAATGCCATCTATTAGTCTCTGGTTAATATAGAGTGTTTTCCCTCTCTGACGTCACCTAGGGTTTAGAGACAGTGCTAGATGTGGAACAGGTTTTAAATAAATAGAAGTCTGTGGAGGATATAGTATTGCATAGACTCTAATGTTCAGACAACTCAGAGGAGCTGCATGCTTTGATCATTTCACTCTAGGATCAGAATATCCTAGAGGGGTGGGTGGCTCAGTGGGTTAAACCTCTGCCTTCAGCTAGGGTCATGATCTCAGGGTCCTGGGATTGAGCCCTGCGTTGGGCTCTCTGCTGAGCAGGGAGCCTGCTTCCTCCTCCCTCTCTGCCTGTCTCTCTGCCTGCGTGTTCTCTCTCTCTGTGTCAAATAAATGGATAAAATCTTAAAAAAAAAGGCTAATATTTGAGTTGTTCTATTTACTACATCAAAAGGCTATTAGATGGCTACTATTTGCATCCCCATTTTACAGATGAAGGTGTCAAAGTTTAGAGTTGTTAAGAGCCACACCTGAGACCATGTAGCCACCAAGAAAGAGAGATAGGGTTCAAGCCCGGGGAGTTGGACTCCAAGAGCTCCTAACACTATTCTGTGCTATTTCCAAGAGGGCTTGGGGAGATGTCTTACTGGCATTCAATGTTTTTGTCTCCTTTCTTCTTCTAAAGAGACTTCTGAATACCTTTCATTAGGTTTTCAAATGATGTTACCCCATTTGCTAACTTGAATATGGCGAGCAGTCTTCCTGTATTTCGAGGGAAGCTAGTCTTTGTTCTCCTAGATCTGGGATGTACATTTCCCTTTTCAGCTTCAGGACAGACAGAAAAATGAAGTGAGACAGACAATTTTCTGTTATAGATTTTAAGGGGGTGCCAGAAAGTTCTCCCTACCTGCAAAATCTCCCCTTCTCGAATCCTGATGTTTAATATCCCACCAATGCAGGTTCATTGTTTGGTTTCAAGTTATGTCCTCTGTCAAAATGCAAATAAATCAGGGATTGATAAATGGCATTGCAAGACAAGCAGCCTGACAGCCTGCCCATCTTCCTTCTTCCATCTGTCTTTTCCTTTAATAAATATTTTTGGAAATAGACTCTAGTTGCATAACGGGTTCTAGAGGTTTAAAGATATATAAGTGGTGTCTGCCCTTGGGAATGTCTTGACTCTGGAAGCAGGCAAATGTTAAAAGGGATGCAACAGTGCTTTAGATGTAAGGTGCAGGGAAAGCGTAAAGGGAGGAACACACTGCTCTACTCGGAAAGATGACCACAGATACTCCTTAAGCCTAAAGTCCTTCACACTTTAGTAAGAATGAACTATGAAGATTTTTTTTTTCCCCCCCAGAAAGCAAGTTTTGGTGAAGGAGAAGGTTTGGAGTGTGTGTGAGTTCAAAGACTGGTTCTGTTATTGTCGTGCGAAGATCCTGCCTGTCAGTAACAATTACCTGCATACCATCTTTGGCAAATGGCTTCATGTATCCCATCACTTAAACCGTAGGTCTGTTAACTCCATCTTATAATCAGAGCTGGACACAGACTTTATGTGCTCTAGGAAGCACTGCTTTATGAAAAACTCTCAGATACATATCTCTATCCCTGATGGCTTCTCTAATCAACTACGTGTTCAAAACCTCCACACCGATGATCTGCCCAATTTAATATGCCCAAACTTGAAGTCAAGACTTGTCCCCCACCCACTCTCCTTCCTCTCCCCCACCCTCCCACACAAGGCTACCTAGATCAGTGAATGGGACTATTTCCCACCCAGTGATGACTTCCTTCCCCTCATCCCTAATGGTCTACTATTCAAAGTAATGGTCTACTATGGTAATGGTCTACTATACAAAGTCTAGGTGATTCTATCTCTTAAATACCTCATCAGCTGAGATACTTTTTCTAACTCCAGTGCGTTCATCAGAGCCTAACCTACTAACTTCTATCAGGACATTTTAATTGTTCTGCCAGAGTCTGCTCTCACCTAAATGTCATAGCCCCCCTGTATCTATCTGATCATATCTGTCCATTCAGAGGTTTCAAACTGCTCTAAGGATAAGGAACAAAACTCTTGACCTTCTGTTAGAGATCTACTCTAAGCAGCATCACCATCTTTCCCTGAGACTACTCTCTTTTCCCCTTTTTTGGACACATCTGAATTAGATATCCTTTTGGAGCTTTATTCTGGTCTGCATGTGTATATCGTATTCATGCTTCCATTCTCCATCAACTCTTGTATCCACACCCTTTGCCAGTAATACCTCCGTGCTCTCCCACTGGTGATGGTGCAGAATTTCCGGTTCCTGGTCTCAGTCATGTGACCTGCTCTGGCCAACTAGGCGAGATGCTGACCCCAGGCTGCAAGGGGCCATTCATGCTTCCTTGTCCTTGGAACCTCTCCCTTCACCACAATAAGAACATGCGCCGGGGAGCCCTTTGTCTCCATGAAAAGGATGAGGAACCCGCAGAGTGGAACTACCCAGCTGCAACCAGCCTCCACTAACTCACACTCTGTCAACACATGAACATATACGAAGCAATAACCGGTTGCTGTTTTAAGCCAGTGACGTTTGGGGTGGTTTATCCTGTACCAGAGCTCATTGAGACACTAACACAGTGATGTGTATTTTCCTGTGGCTTTGTTAATACCTTTAGCCTTTGTTCATGGCTTTAAGTCAACAGGGTTAAAATCAACAAAGACTACGTTGTCGATGGTCTCATTCTTCCTCCTCTGAACAGCAAACCTGTGCTTGAGAATTGAGGTCCTGTCATAAGGCAGTGAATGGCTACTTCCTGAGAATTTTTCTGTGATTTTCCTGATGAAACTAGGGCCTTCCTGCCAATCCTGCCATTGGGGTGGATGAAATTGAGCACGGATATTTCCCTTGCCACCACAGAGGCTTTTCATCCCCGGGAGAGATGGGAAGTCCACTGCCCTAAAACTGAGGACCAAGCCGAAAATTCAGGGCTGGTTTTGGAAATGACACCATCTACCTGTTTCCTAAGGAAAGGCGCCATCAGTCCGAGGCAGCTTTTAAAGGTCGTCCTAGATTGGAACAGCACATCTTGTTCTTTTTTTTTTTTTCTTTTTTCTTTTTATCCGTGTCCTCTGAGGTTCTCTTTGAAAATCTGTTGAATGTTTCTGGCCTTTATATTTTCTCGAGCCGACAAAACCCATTACTAAATGGATGTTAATGAAGCCACAGGGCCAAGTCATTGGTAATTCAAAATGAAAACCGTGACCGCGTGGGGCTGTCATACGTCGCCCCTGAAAAGCTACAGCAAAATGCTGTGCTCTTCAAGGAGACCCTTGAAATTAAGACTCTCACCCAGAAATGTTAAGCGACTCGGGGGCTTTGAAACAAAGTGCCCTCATTAACACGACCTCAGGCTTGTGCTGTCCGAACAGAAACAGCGATGGAAAAGTAAATAATGAGCCCGTTGCATGGCACTAGAGCCGACAAAGACCTACACACCTGGAGGGCTGCAGTGCTTTTCCCGGAAATCAGGTCTAAAAATAGACCTCTCAGCTTTGCTCCGATCCACCCCAAATTCCCGAGCAGACATCTGGAAAGAAGAGGCAATTCAGTTTCCCAGCTGAAATGTTTTGGGTATTTTCTTTTTGATGGGGAGATCGGGGAGAAGGTTAGAAGTTTGAACACTTTGTTCTCTCTCTGCTTTTAAAATAGCCCTGACAGGCTGTTCTTGATGGGCATGGGTTTGAGAGAGAGCCGCCATTGCTGTCCCAAGCCTGACAGATCTTCGCTAACTGACCTTCTCTAGAAGAAAGTGAGTTAGACTTCCCGAACTACTGGACCCTTTTACTTGGGAATCAAGATGTCCTGAAAACTATGTGTCCCCTCAGGAGTGACTTCCTGAGCTGTCTCCCATTGTAGGACACCCTGGCCTTTGGGGTAATATGGCAACCCAGAGACCTATTTTGCTTTCCAGTCCAGTGAATGAGCACAGGAGGCTTGGAGCTGTGTTACCTGAGAACCGGGAGGCCATGTGGCAGGGCTGGGCCGTGAGGGGCCTCCTTTATCTGGAAGAGGAGCCCGAGGAAGAGACCCCTCACTGATGGACTGAAGCGCAGGATGGGGTTCAAATGAGTCAGCTGTGTTGAGGGCCCTTTTGGGGTCTGGAGGCATTCTTGATTCTCGAGGGCAAAAGGGAGTGTGAAGAATTCTCTGGGCTTCCATGTAGACTCTTGGAGAGCCTGCAGGCTCCTTCCAGCTTTCAGCTTCCTTCCCAGTGGGCATTTCCAAGGTCTCTTGCTGAAACAGTGAGCGTGAAGTCCCGCAGCCATTGCTCCTTAATCTCCTCAAAGTGGGAGAGGTAGAGATGGGGTTTGGGGCTTGCTGGTCAAAGTAGAGAAGACTCCCCTGGTTCTCACTGTGCTTCTTCTAGAGATTCCTCAGGGAGAGCTGAGGAGAGGCCCCACAGCCTTGGGTCTGCACCTCTGGGCAGGATGGCTCCATCCCTATGCAGCTAAGAGGTTCCATTGCTGGAAGTTTCCAGGGGACATAGTTGGACTTGCTTTTCTCTGGACCATACTGGGGTTGTTCAGTTTCTGAATTCAAGTGCTGCTTTTCCCCTGGTCTGCCTTTGTTTTTCCCCAGAGGATAGTTACATGCAGGTTGTTGGATTTTCGGGAAGAGCAGAGTGTGCAGTCTGTTGCAAATGAGGGAGACTGACATGAGAAAAAACACATTTAATTTTCACCTGAAAACTGCTACTTTGTCACAGGAGGTAGGAAGAGACCAGTTATCATTAGCATCCTTTGTGTTTTGCAGGTACTTTACATAAGTGATTTCAGCCTTCCCATCTGAATAGTTTATATGTTGAAAATTGTTTATGGTTTAATTATTATGCCTTCCAGGTTGAAACAAAACAATGTTCTAAAACCTTAGTGATGAGGTGCCTTCACGGCTCAGTCGGTTAAGTGTCCAACTCTTTTTTTTTTTTTTAAAGATTTTATTTATTTATTTGACAGACAGAGATCACAAGTAGGCAGAGAGGCAGGCAGAGAGAGAGGAAGAAGCAGGCTCCCCGCTGAGCAGAGAGCCCGATGTGGGGCTCGATCCCAGGACCCTGGAATCATGACCTGAGCTGAAAGCAGAGGCTCTAACCCACTGAGCCACCCAGGCGCCCCAAGCGTCCAACTCTTGATTTCAGCTCAGGTCATGATCACGGGGTAGTGGGATTGAGCTCTGTGCTTAATGGTGAGTCTGCTTGGGATTCTCTCTCTCCCTCTCTCTCTGCCCTTCCCCCCTCTGCTGGTGCACAGCAGACTCTAAAATAAGTCTTTATTTAAAAAAACCCAAAAAACAAAACAAGCCAAAAAATTAAAAAAAATACCAACACCTTAGTTACCTATGAGGCATTTTGGAATCCATAAAGCTCATCTCCTTTTGATTATTCCTTTTTTTTTTTTAACGATTTTATTTATCTACCTGACAGAGATCACAAGTAGGCAGAGAGAGAGAAGGAAGCAGGCTTCCCGCTGAGCAGCGAGCCCGATGCGGGGCTCGATCCCAGGACCCCGGATCATGACCCGAGCCGAAGGCAGAGGTTTAACCCACTGAGCCACCCAGGCGCCCCATTCCTTTTTTTTTTTTTTTTTTTAAAGATTTTATTTACTTATTCATGAGAGATAAAGAAAGAAAGGGAGACACAGACAGAAGGGTCCCCATGTGGGATTTGATCCTAGGACCCTGGTGTCATGACCTGAGCTACCCAGGCACACTGATTATTCCTCAAGACAATTAAATATACATTACCATTTTCTTACATTCTGTATGTATGTATGTATGTATGTATGTATGTATGTATTTATTACAGTGCTTTGGTGGATTCCAGGGAAATAAGGATATAAGAACAAGAAGAACAAAGCCCCTTCCTCAAGGTTTCAATTACAGAATAAGAAAGACATGGTTTCAAAGATACTGCTGTAAAGTGCTTGGCAAAAGACATTCTGGGTTTTATCTATCCTCTTGTTTTGGAAAAAATAACTTGCAAATTCGAAAAGAAAAGCCTGGGTGTCACCCAAATGCCTTACTTCTCATGATTAGAAGTGGCTTCTAGGATTCGCTAATGCAGAATTACCTCTCAGTTAAGCTCTTCCCATGCTCAAGGTAAGCTGCTTCTACCATTTGACGACTTGATCCATGGCAACACAGAAATGACTTACTACAACTCTTTTATTTTGTAGTTTCCCCTATGAAGAAAGAGTTATGTATAGAAAAGTGTTGATCCTCACCCATTTTGCAAACTAGTGCATAAATGTGAACTCTTCATTATTTACAGACCCAGTGTGGGGCTGTGGGTCAGACAGAGGACCCATCCTCTCTTGCCATGGGCAATGTGGAAAGTGGTTTCAGACTGGGTTTGGCTTGTTTACAGATGAAACATGAGTAGTTGACCACATGCATATTCTGAGATCTCCAGTAATAATTTCAGCAAGTCTGTAATTCTAAAGCAAAAACTCCGTGATCTGAAATGCTTTGGGAATGAACATATTTGGATGGCCCCACTTTGAGGAAAGCTAATAATTTTTCTTGTAGTGCTATATGATTTTCATTGCAATGACAACAGTTCAGTAGACCTATTTCTACAGTGCATTATTTACTCCCTCAACTTGATAACAGAGAATACTGCATAGCAGTCAATTTTTTCTTGATGACCTGGCCTGGTTGATTATCACTCATAGGACCAGTTGACAGGCAGTGATTGTTACTGTATTTACTTCAGGGTTATGGAGAATACAATAATTGTTACAGATTTTTATAGCCTATAATTATTTACCATACTAAATGGCCCCCCACTGATGTATCCCTGAATTCTTATTCATTATTTCTCATTACGGTTTGGGTACTTGCCTATGGCAGCCTCTCTCCCCTGTGTTTCTTCCAGTCTGTTTCAGGCATGGAAGTCCAAAAACTCTATGGAGAGAGGACTCATAGGATCTGCGGTTTACTCTCATCAATAAAGAGGAGGACTGCAACGTTATGACATTGTCATGAGAATACTGTGACATTGATTTTGAGGACTCTGTGTTCTCTTCTATTTGTTCCCTGATTCTCATCTGGTTTAAGGCCAAATGAAACTAATAGATACTAGATTTTAGACTGGAGAGTTGTTCAAGGAGCTACTTAGATATGAATTAAAGTCAATTCAACTCTTACAAAAGAAATCTACATCCTTAATACTGGGTTGCATTAATATTTTGAGCTGATGTCTCAAGTGGTACCAAACTTCACATGTATAACAAAAATGTATGATGTACTCTTCTTTGGGGGGCGAGGAAAGAGCTAAGAAACTCACATTTTAGTCAAGGTGAGGCTGATTCTGCTTCTAGTTGATAATTTCTGGCTGCTGCTTGAAACGCTGACACCAGCTTTGCTAAAGGAGAATGAAGAGGCCCGTTCTGACCTTTGATGAACACAGAGATATCATGTCTCTTTCCAGGGCCTGAACAGGAGGGGCCATTTCTTCATTTCTCCTAAGAGACAAAGGATCGAGTTGAGGGCTAGGGTTACAGGTATTTTCACACACATATATGCCCAGGAAATTTAATTATTTTTTCCTTGATAGCCAAGTCCAAGCTCTAAGCAGCAACACCATTGAAGGAATTTAGTATGATTCCATAGGTACTTGCAGGAGAGTTTGATCAGAATGTTTAGTACTTGGGTTTCCCCTTGATTCTTGTGACTTCTTTTTCCTCTTTGAGGGGTTAGGACAATGCTTCGGATTTCCTTTCTGGTCGTCATTATGGAAGTCATTATGCCCGATACAACTTAATTTAATTTAACCTACCAAAACAGTTAAATTAATTTAACTTAATTTAATGACTTAAAGGTCATTAAATATTATTGATTGATGAGTGTCTCAAATACTGGGACTAAAGCAGTAGTAACTGCTGGCCTGACTCACTGCAGAACCAAAGAAACTTTATATACAGAGGGTCTCTGGAAAGCAGTTTGCAGAGAGGGGAGAGCCCAGCCTCCTGAGTCACCCACCTGCTTGGTGTCCCCATCTCACCAACAACTGGCCTGTGACAAGGGCAAGGCTCTCCCCTCTGGCAGTATCTAGGCTGCATTTAGGGAAGGGCTTTGGAGCACCTCCCTCCCCAGCAGGCATAAAATGGATAATACCCAGGTTCCGGGGAGGCCCTCCCTAAATGATGACCCCCACATATTTTATAAGGAGTCAAAATTTAACCAAGAAGGTAAGGCAAACTCTTCTCCTGTATGTTCTCTAAAAGACAAACTCAGTAAATGATCATTAAAAAGATTTACCAGACTTTGACCTCCCAAGCAAATACCAGCCACACGGTTGGGGAGGTGATCTCAGTGTCCTTGAAATTAAAACCCACACAGACTAATGTTTCACCCATTCTTCTCAGATGTGGAGAGACCAGCAAGACAGAACTGAGAGGCTGGTAGGAACAGGATCTAAATAAACAGAGAGTGTGAGAGGGAAACCTAGCCCCTCTCACTGAGTGACTGTTGCCCCTGACTGTTGCCTTTGATACTTGGGGGCTGGTCTGCCTTGTCCAAGTGGGTCCTGACAAGGGAGTCCCCAGATCCAGAGTGAACTGCCAGGGGGAGGTTTGGAGAAACAGATTCCACACCTGTAATAGTGGACTGTCCCAGCCAAGTGCAGGCGGACTTGAGGCCATCGAAATGGAGAACTGGCGCCTCCCCTCCTCAGAGACTTTTCTAGTTCTTTGTTTCTGAAAAAGCCTCAAGGAAGAAAGTTCAGAATCTGCAACTGCCTAAGAAAAATGATTTGTTTTTGTTGAACAATGGATGATCCAATTCAGAAATGATGCAAATGTGGCTTTTTACTTACCTTTAGGTGTTCAGTAATAGTCACTGATAATTCTGGGAGGCGGTTCTATTCCATTTATTTTCTCTAAAGTTGAGAGAATCATTCCTTTCAACCTGACTTTGCTCACATCTTAAAACATTTTGTGTGCATCTGTTTAATGAATGGACTGTTTTGATAAGCAGTGAATAATAGAGGAAATGATCATTATACCTGGGAACAAATTTGTGAGCATTAATTTTCAAATAATTAAAATGGGGATGGAAAAACTTTGTATTTACCAGCCTTCTCATTTGAGCAATCCCCAAGAATGCAGGTAATACTAAAAAATATTTCTGCAAATCTTTATAAAAAAATTCAAACAAACTCTAATTAATTCTAATTTACTGAACTTTTCATTGTTTAGACTTTTTACAGGTATGTATCATTTTTAAATTGAAATTTAATTAGCCAACATACAGTACATCATTGTTTTGACATAATGTTCAATGATTCATTAGTTGAGTGTAATAAACAGTGTTCATCACACCACGTGCCCTCCTTGATGTTCATCCCCCAGTTACCCCACCCCCCACTCACTTCCCTCTCCAACACCCTCAGTTTGTTCTCCAGAGTCCAGAGTCTCTCATGGTTTGTCTCCCTCTCTGAT